AGATTTCGTTTACATTTGCTGCCTTATAATAAATAGATGTACCCACTAAATGTACAATTTTTATATCTCTTGTTTGTCCTAGAAACTGTTGCATCTCTAATAGCTTAGAATTAATTTCAAACTTCTATTTTAAGCAGGGTTGAGAAATATTTTCATGAGAGAACTATTGCGCCTTTTGTTATTTGTAACCGAAATAACAATTTTAATTTGACACAAAATTCGTGGTTCACATCGTGTTCAAATCATTGTAAGAAAGAAAAGCTGAAGCGTGGGTTTAAAAAGGTAAATAACCACATGCCTATTGTTAAAAGTTGTTTCTTACGTCAGAGGTACATTTTCAAAATAATATTATTATATTTTTGCACTTGAATTACATTTAAATTCGTAAATAGTGACTTGTTTTTCAGATTAATTAGAAACAAACAAATAAGTTTCAAATTTGAATTGGCCAGAAAAATTCCTTTGCTTTTCCATGACAGCAAATATTTGAATAATGAGAATTTTAAATATCCAAATAATTAGTTATTCAAAATTTCAAATATCTGGATATTTTTAAAATTCTATTTTTTAATATTGAATGTTAAAATCACCACGTATTAATCTTTCAGATATTCGAATATTTGACTTCTCAAATAAGTATAAATACTTGAACATTTACAAACATTCAAATGTCGGGTAATTTTAATATATAAATCAAGTTATAAACAATTGAACAGTATGAAAAATTCTTTCCCTACACATTTCCAGGTTTTTTTCACCATTCTAATATTCATTCATAAATCAGGATACCTATATGACTTCAAACGATCTCATCTCATATATAAATGATGTAAGCAACTATTTGAGGTCATTTTTTGGGAAAATTTGACAACGCTGACCTGGTTTTTGCAAAAAGAGAATCGGATCTTTGTCTTTGTCAAAACAATCCTTTCAGTATATCGATTCTAGGAATAACTTATTTTTTAGAAATTGTTGCGCCGCGACGAATGCCGCATGGGTAAAAACAGATAACGTTTGAAACATCAGAAACTGGAAAAAAAATCGGCGACAGAAATAAGTAGAAAGGCGGCACCGCAGACGGTGGTTCAGCCTCCTGGAGGCGTAACGACCACCACGTTGTTACTGAGTAAAGTTGAGCTTAGCCAAGTCTTGTGTCTGTGGCCGAAAGTATGATAAGTGATGTGACAAATCCAAGTTAGCTGTTCCGGTTGCGGTGGAGCGATAATAAACGTCAACAAGCAGACAGACACAGCCTGATCCGGAGGCAAAAAAAACTTCTTTTGGCGATATATGTCCGACCTTATTATAAAGATCGCGTTGTATAAACTGGCAATGTTCTTTTTTTAAGATTCCGTACCTCAAAAGGAAAGAGAAGGAACCTTTCTAGGATCACTTCGTCCCTCGTCTGTTTGGCTTTGACTTTTTCCCTACGAACCCGTGGAGGTATCAAGTTGAAATTAGTATCATTGATTATGTTTGCAATTACTTGGAGCTGTAAAAGAATCCAAGTTCTAGGTCTGCGGACCTACACCATGTTTTCCAAATTTCTGATTTCTGAGAGTTTCTATAACAATAGATAGATGTTGCATATAAAAGCTTTCAAACGTAATAAACTGCATCAAAATCAATCAGCTCTATTTCAAGCAGAGCAGTCATTAATATTGGATTGAATCATATCATTGAAGGTGTGGAAATTGATGCAGGACTGATATTCAATCTCAAATATGACTTCGTTGGCCACAAGAAATATCAAGTTCGTGTGTTTGACCCAGAATAGTCTTTGAGGATGTCTGTCGGCGAAACTAAACGCTTCATCTACGAAGGAGGATTAGAAAACCACGATCATTAAGCCCGAAAAGTAATATTTTAAGGAATATAAGGTCTACCTAAAGATTGATAATCGGTTATCGATCAAAAAATTGATTGACTGAGCTTAAATAAGCCTCAGAGTAATCCAACCAAATTAACAATTAGTACTAATTAAAAAATAGGGCAATTGGAATAATTTATGATATGAGTTTTGATGGAAGTCAATACGAAATAAGTTGGTAGGACACCTTCTCCGCTATGAAGGGCTAGTCACAGACATATTAGANTTTTTTAATATTGAATGTTAAAATCACCACGTATTAATCTTTCAGATATTCGAATATTTGACTTCTCAAATAAGTATAAATACTTGAACATTTACAAACATTCAAATGTCGGGTAATTTTAATATATAAATCAAGTTATAAACAATTGAACAGTATGAAAAATTCTTTCCCTACACATTTCCAGGTTTTTTTCACCATTCTAATATTCATTCATAAATCAGGATACCTATATGACTTCAAACGATCTCATCTCATGTATAAATGATGTAAGCAACTATTTGAGGTCATTTTTTGGGAAAATTTGACAACGCTGACCTGGTTTTTGCAAAAAGAGAATCGGATCTTTGTCTTTGTCAACACAATCCTTTCAGTATATCGATTCTAGGAATAACTTATTTTTTAGAAATTGTTGTGCCGCGACGAATGCCGCATGGGTAAAAACAGATAACGTTTGAAACATCAGAAACCGGAAAAAAAATCGGCGACAGAAATAAGTAGAAAGGCGGCACCGCAGACGGTGGTTCAGCCTCCTGGAGGCGTAACGACCACCACGTTGTTACTGAGTAAAGTTGAGCTTAGCCAAGTCTTGTGTCTGTGTGTGCCCAAAGTATGATAAGTGATGTGACAAATCCAAGTTAGCTGTTCCGGTTGCGGTGGAGCGATAATAAACGTCAACAGGCAGACAGACACAGCCTGATCCGGAGGCAAAAAAAACTTCTTTTGGCGATATATGTCCGACCTTATTATAAAGATCGCGTTGTATAAACTGATGGCAAAGTTGTTTTTTAAGATTCCGTACCTCAAAAGGAAAGAGAAGGAACCTTTCTAGGATCACTTCGTCCCTCGTCTGTTTGTCTTTGACTTTTTCCCCACGAACGCGTGGAGGTATCAAGCTGAAATTAGTATCATATAATTAGGTCTGCAATTACTTGGAGCTGTAAAAAGATCCAAGTTCTAGGTCTGCGGACCTACACCATATTTTCCAAATTTCTGGTTTCTGAAAGTTTTTATAACGATAGATAGATTTCACCTAAGTATTTGCCCGAGATGTGTATGTTGCATATAAAAGCTTTCAAACGTAATAAACTGCATCAAAATCAATCAGCTCTATTTCAAGCAGAGCAGTCATTAATATTGGATTGAATCATATCATTGAAGGTGTGGAAATTGATGCAGGACTGATATTCAATCTCAAATATGACTTCGTTGGCCACAAGAAATATCAAGTTCGTGTGTTTGACCCAGAATAGTCTTTGAGGATGTCTGTCGGCGAAACTAAACGCTTCATCTACGAAGGAGGATTAGAAAACCACGATCATTAAGCCCGAAAAGTAATATTTTAAGGAATATAAGGTCTACCTAAAGATTGATAATCGGTTATCGATCAAAAAATTGATTGACTGAGCTTAAATAAGCCTCAGAGTAATCCAACCAAATTAACAATTAGTACTAATTAAAAAATAGGGCAATTGGAATAATTTATGATATGAGTTTTGATGGAAGTCAATACGAAATA